GCCTAACAAAGTCGTGTGATCAGAATCTTTAATTTGTTTTTCAGGTCTGTGCAGGATTCCTAAACATCAGTTCCTTATTTTTTTCTCAGTTTTATCCATCCTTTCCTTTGTTCTTGGGGAAACCACTGTCCCTTATCTCTGTTTATTGTTTTCTTTGAAACTCCAAAGCAAAGTTTTGGTTTGAGAATCAGGTAATTAAAACTAATGTTCCTTCCCCCTTAGGAGCAAGGCGGGGAGGTGAGCAGGGCGCACCTGGGCCGCCTGTACGTGTTCGCGCTGATGTGGAGCGTGGGTGCGGCCCTGGAGATGGGCAGCCGGTGCCGGCTGGAGCACTGGCTGCGCGCTCAGGCCTCCCCGACGCTGGAGCTGCCACCGCTGGACGGTCCTGGGGACACCATGTTCGACTACTATGTGTCACCTGATGGTGAGGATGGGCCCGTCCATCCAGACCTTGCCGATGGGGACAGGATATTTTGCCTAATGAAAAGCTTGTGAGAATAGATATTTTAAAATGATTAATTATTTTAATCCTGTTCTTATTCTGTTCTGTATTTTTATACACACTTTGATATAACTGACAACCTATGTATTTGAAAACAATTCCAAAATACTTTCCAATATTTCCTAATAAGACAACTTTGGAATTATTCCTTGGGAAGTTTTGACTCAGCTAACACCTGCTTGTACACTTAGATCTCTAATTTTAATGATCTTTATTTGATGGGGAGTATTTTCTCAGGAGGCCTCCTAAGATTTGCAGGGTGTCTTCTCATCACAGTTAGTAGTTAAATTACTAATATGAAGCTGCAGACGTTCTCTATCCACCTCAGGTGAATGGATGCATTGGAACACCCGTACCCAGGAGTACGTGTATCCCTCTGACACCACCCCAGAATATGGCTCTATCCTGGTGCCGAATGTTGACAATGTGAGGACTGACTTTCTAATTAACACCATTGCTAAGCAGGGCAAGGTATGGCTTTTTAACTTTTATTAAAAGTAGCATACTTTACAATGTCACTTAAAAATGTGAAGCATTTATGCATTTATTGTAGAAGGTTTTATGTTGCCGTTTAGAGTAAATGAAGATATCACCTGAAGTACTATGCTTCTTTCACTATTTCTGGTAACATATTGGAGTTGAATAGTTGTAATTCATAGTTAATTATTTCTCCTATATTAGTGGAGAGAGTGCAAATTGTGACTTATTGTTCCAAAGAGAATTCCTTACTTTTTTTTTTGCTGCAGCTTTTGGCCGGGGCTGGGTTTGAACCTGCCACCTCCGGCATGTGGGGCTGGTGCCCTACTCCTTTGAGCCACAGATGCTGCCCTGAGAATTCCTGACTTTTTCTTAGTTTGCTAGAGCTAACCACAGAATCCTGCAGCCGGCTGGCTTACACAGCAGCAGTTTATTTTCTTGCAGTTCTTGAGGCTGAAAGCCCAGGATCAAGGCGTTGGCAGGTGTCTTTGGAGGCCTCCCTCCTTGGCTTGCAGGTGGCACCACCTTGCTGTGTTTTCCTATAGTGTTTTTCTATGTCCCCAAATCCCCTGTTTCTTTGCATACCCAAATGTCCCTTCCTTATAAGGATACCAGTTAGGTCAGAGTAAAGCTCACCCTAAAGGCGTCACCTTACCTTGCTCACCTCTTTAAATACCTCACCTCCAAGCATAGTCACATTCTGAGGAACCGGGGGTTAAGGCTGAATTCAACCGGTGAATTTTGCGATAGCCCGTTGTGATCAGTGTATTTCGTTCCTTGGATTTCTTTCTCTCTTTCCCCATTTCAGGCCGTGCTGTTAATTGGTGAACAAGGAACAGCCAAAACAGTCATCATCAAAGGGTTTATGTCAAAATATGATCCCGAGAGTCACACGATCAAGAGTCTGAACTTTTCTTCCGCGACCACCCCGTCGATGTTCCAGGTGTGGGCTCTTTGGTTTTTGCTCATTAAGCTCAAGTTTGTGATGAACTTTGGGGGCTAAAATCTCTTTAGTGTTCTGCCTCATCTGAACTTTCATAGCCATGATAAATCTTCCACGTGTGTCTTCCATTCTCTCTTTTGTTGAACTTCAATAGAGTCTCTCTGGTTAGATTATAATATAGAATCTTAAATTGTGGCAAAATCGAAAAGCTTCTGTAAGATGCTACAGGCCGCAATACTATGGGTTTAAAATAGCTACCTAGAAAACTTTGTGAGTGTGCAAAATCCCACTTGAAAGAAATATTATTTATTGTCAATCCTACTTCCTTTCCCTAGAGTCTGTTCTTCAAGGGTGTTACTATCACTGTAGCCTTTAGGCTCAGACATTCTAGAGTCATATGTGAAGGGTCTCCAGGGCCTGTTAAGATGTCTACAGAAGAGTTTTTCATATCTCCCCCTTTTCATGTTCTCTGTCCACCTCTATGTAATCACTTTTTCATGGATTCACATAAGTGTATGAACATGGGAGAATCCCCAGCTATTCCCAGTTCAAGTCTAATTTTCTTCCAGCCTAGCTTTTATACCTCTTCCAATCTCTGTTTCCTAAATTGCCACTTTCATCTTGTTTCCTGACTTAACATTCCCCTGTGGCTCCTGTGTTCAATTGCAACAAAGTATACAATTCTATAGTCTTAGCATATGAAATATTTTACTCTATCTTGTAGGAGAGGAGTAAAAACTGACACCTCAAATTTGCATTCCTTTTTCTTTTTTCAATGAAACTTCCAGAGATGATGTGGGTTTGCAGGTCTCAGTTATACAGTGTGTAAGACCTTATGAAAGGGGAAGGAAGCCTAGAGATCAGCACATGCTTCAGCCATTTGCAAGTCATCTCTCATATGTTAATCAGCACATTAATACATTACCCAAAGGTACTGTCATAACTTGCAGAGAGAAGGGAGATTTTTAGGGGAATCCAAATCCAAAGATCTTTGGTTTTGATGAACTTTGTTGCTCTTCAGTTGTTAGAATGAAAATATGAGAGTGATAAAAATTGTTGACAGCACGCTTAAATTATACCTTTTAATCCCTCACTTTTAATTGGTGATAGCAAAATGCCAGTATACTAAGACTATTGACTGAATTTCTAAATAAGACTTTCAACTTTCTTATACCCTCTGGTGGAGACGGAATTTCCAGTGCTGGCCATCCTTCCATCAGATGAATACCATTGATCAGTGTCTTGGTGGGAAGGTCTGGATGGAGGGTGAACTCCAAATTGCAGTGACTCTTTGTGTTTGGGGAACAGTACATTCAATTGCCCTAGGCTGGCAAGGTGCTAACATTATACATATTCCACTGATAGTTTTAAGGAGATTTTGTTAGTTTTACTTTAGTAGAACATTCTCTTTATAGATTCTAATTATAAATAACATTATTTGAGGATTCAGGTTTAAAAAATCAGATCGAAGTGTGATCTTTTTGCATTTTATGGCAGTAATGAACTAACTAGTCTGACTTCTTGAGACTATCTTGAGGCCAGAAATTTAATTTTGACAGTAAATAGTAGAGCTAGCGCAGATTTCATAGGGGAAAGGCATAGTCCCCCAAAAGACTACTTTCACTTCAGATGCCAGCCACAGGCTCAGGAATTCCCAGGCCACCCACACTTCTAACCAAGTGGCTATAAATTAGGCAGTTCCCACAACCTCTCAGTTTTGATAATTCACTAGAATGATTTATAGAACTCAGGGACGTGCTAAGCTTGCTATGACAACTTTCTTATGAAGGATATAAATATCAGCTGAAAGAAAAGACCCATGGAGCAGGGTTTTGGAGGGTAGCAAATGGGAACCTTCTCTGTTCTCGGGATGTGTTATCTTCTAGACCTATCATGTATGTCACCAAACAGGAAGCTCCCCTGAGCCTCAGTGTCTTGGGTTTTTATTGGAGTTTCATGACACAGGCCTGCTTCATCGAATCCTGACCACCTGATTGAGCTCAGTCTCCAAGCTCCCTTCTCTCCCAGAAGGCCAGCTGATACCACAAGGTTTAAAACCTCAACTTTCTAATCATGTGGTTGGTCTCTCTGGCATGAGTGGCCCCAAAAGAGGCCCATGTGAATAACAAAGACATATCTACTACTCAGAAAATATCAAGGGTTTAAAGTCCCTTTCCCAGGAAACAGAGACAAAGGCCAGACAAGCTCTTTACTGCAGGGCAAAGCCTTGTGTTTCTGTTACCAACTCTGTGGTATTTGACTCTGTAAGGTATAAAGACCTACCATCTGTGTCTCTGAAACACAAGGTATTTATTAATTTTCTGGAAAAATTTTGTTATTTAGAAAACATGATTGTTGCTTAATACACAAATCCATAAATCATACAATAAAGTTCTAGAAGTTCTTGAGGCATAATAATTAGAATAATCAGAAGAATAACAGAATAGGCTTTGAAATAATAAAAATCTACACTCTTTAGGATTCCAGCACCTGATTCACAAGTATGTAACCCTATTTCCCCCTCTTCTCCAATGTTAAGGTAGAGTCAACACATCACTCTTTCTTTTCTGTTCTGAGGCATCACAGGATCATCTGCTCTGTTTAGCATCTAAGCCTGTTTTGACGGCTGAACATTAGAGCTTTCTATTAAGCAAGACTCATTAGTTTTAGAAAGCTTTCAATTAGCTAAACTGCTGTAATTAACTTTCCCACTATAATTTTCAGTCATTCATACTAAACAGGGCTGATGGAGCAGAGCATTTGCCTCTGTGTCTCCCACTTATCTGGATCTCAACCAAATTGAAATTGTAGGCGAGAAAATGGATAGCTACTATCCATCCCTGGTCTGTTGCCATGATGGCACTGTTGTCCAGTGAAGGACACATCTGTCATTCCACAGGTTGTTTTCATCATGGTGTGACTTTAGCAAATTTTACCGGTTGAAGGACTGTATGTCCCTGTTTGCCCAGGACAGTCCAGTGAACTAACATTGTCACAGACTAATAATTAATAGCATCTCCTGCCACTGCCAAAAGACAAAAAACTCTATAGTCACCCCAGATTTTTGAAAAAGGGGTTCAGTTTTTAAAGAGAGATGCCTCATTTCCACCCCAAACTAATATCACTTAATGTTTTTAATATTTGAAAGTGATCTATGCATAACTTTAGAAGTTTAAATGTAGAAAGTTGAAAAGAAGGAAGTGAAGCTTACCTACCGTAAGAGGATTTTTGAAAAGGTTGATTTCTACTAAAAGTAACCTTAAAGTGTTTTGAGTACAACAAGCATCTTTCAAAAGGTTGCACAGCAATTGGTTTTATTTTTTAAAAACAAGAATTATAGAGCCTAGAAGGAAATCGCACATTTGTTTCTGGACTCAGTGCCACTTTTCCAGATGACGTCTTATGCAAGAGATGAATCTGTGACACAGGTAGCCTTCTTTGGCTGTGGTGGAATTGGAGCTGGGCTTCTGCAGCCTCTTCCAGCCTCATCTTTGCTTCCGGCAGGGGTCCCTGTAGTTGCAGAAAATCCTCTTGGCTCCTTAGAGCACAGTGTGAAGACTGGTTTCAAGAGGAGAATCCTGAGAGATAGAATGTGAAAGTACTTTTTCATGATAAAGCTCTCTTAAAATGTCAGGTTTTACTGTTAATATTCATGCACTCCTGTGTAAGATTTGA